ACAAACAAACACACAAGCAAGCAAGCAAGCAAGCAAGCAAGCAAGCAAGCAAGCAAGCAAGCAAGCAAGCAAGCAAGCAAGCAAGCAAGCAAGCAAGCAAACAAACAAACAAACAAACAAGCATGCAAGCAAGCAAACACACAACCACACACAACAAGCACACAAGCACACAAACACAAACACGCAAATAAACCAGCAAGCAAACAAACAAGCGAGCAAGCAAACAAGCAAGCAAGCAAGCAAGCGAGCAAGGCAGACAGGCAGACAGACCGACCGACCCACGAACAAACACAAACACACAAGCAAGCAAGCAAGTCAGCCAGCCAGCAAGCAAAGCAAAGAAGCACGCACGCAAGCAAGCACGCAAGCAAACAAACACAGCACACTCTCCCTCTGTCTCTCTCACACTCTTGCTCTCTCGCTCCTTCTGTTCGGTCGTCGTCCAACAGGACTTTTTCGGTTCATCCATCTTGACCGAAGCTCGTATGAGATGTGCCAGACCATGTCCCGCCATGCCCGCAAAGCGTGCCAAAACTAATCCTGAACTTTCAAGGTTGAGGCACATCAAGAGCCGAGCCCAGCAGTTTTTCGGGCTGGTCTACTACCAGCTGCCCGTCCGGAGTTGAAGGCATTGGCCCTATTTTCCGCGCCTGTTTCGATTGTTTTTGTTCTCGCCCTTCTTATTCTTCCTCTGGTTGTGGCTGCGGCTGCAACTGCTGCTGCTGCTGTTGCTGGTGCTGTTGCTGTTGCTGTTGTGGTGTTGTTCTTGCTGTAGCTGTTGCTGTTGTTGCTGCTGTTGCTGTAGTCTTTGCTGTTGCTGTGACGGCTGCTGATAACTGTGACAAGGGCTTCCGTTGTCCCATTCATTTGTGTTACTTGCTTGTTACTTACCGGGCACAATCTCCCAACCATAATGAAAACAGTCGATTTTCTACATCGTAGTGAGCTTGTCAGATCTCTGCTGCTGGCTTCAGGGCTTTAACCGAAAGACTTCGGGTTTTGGCAGGGCTCTGACGCACAGGGATTGAACAGGCCGCACGGCCCCTGTTCTCCTCTGAACAATTGTCTGAAAGCGCACTGGCTTCGCCGAGCTCGTCCCTGGCCTTGCGCAGTCTTGAATTCTGTTTCCGAGTGGCGCCGCCCCAACGAATCTTGGAATGTCCTCCTTCGAAACAGATTCCCTGGAGCCCAACAGTTTTGCGTTCCCGCGGCAACACGATTTCAGTGAAGTCACATCACCCCGCAATCTTTCTTGGCGTAGAGTGGGGGGTCAGGGATCAGCCAAGGACAACCCAGCAGCTCCCCGCGCTCCAGCCCTCCGAGCTTTCCGCACAGAACGAGGCGCCCTATGCAGCGATTTTCTTTTCAAGTTTAGCAGGTTGGAATGTTCGAAGTAAGTATCACCACGCTGATGCTATGATATCTGCTATCACACATTTCAATATGTTGTAAGCGATCGATTACGTGATGTGTCCGTTTCACTGTTTGTACGTCCATCTCTGCTTCCCTTTATTAGGGCCCTGAGTGTCGTGAGTTTCAGGCTCGCTCCATGGAGGACTTGCCGGAGTGGCTAATGCGCCTTGGCCGCCTTGGCTGCTTTGACCTTTGCACACAGCGACGCCTGGGCCACGCAGGCAGCGGGTTCTGGCCACTGGTGCTTTCCCGCGGGAGGGTGAAATCAACCAGGCCTGGGCGTTCGGGATCCAGCCCCGCGGTTTTTTGCAAGTTCGGCAGGTCGCGGCGAACGAGTACCTGGAAAGGGCAGGCAGCTTGAAGCCTGAACGGGCTGAAAGGTCTTCATAGCCTATCCTAGCCTCAGGACTTCAGCTTCTTCTCTCCGCTGGTAAGGTGGGTACATGCACGGAAGAGGAAGCTTTTCTGCACCCTATCCGCTGGGCGCACTGCTGGCCGCGTGCGGGGCAAGCACACTTGGGTATACACGTGGGTATCGCTACCTTCACCCTTTAAGGCCAACTCACTGGCGTCATATGCCAGTGTATGACAGCAAGACGATGTGCCAATTTGCTTGTTGGGCGCGGGCAGTCACATCGGACATAGGTGACGTTAATTGGGTACCGCCAGGCATCTCCTCGCACATGGAAGAGCCCACTGCTTTTGGCCGCAACCTGGGCACGCTCTCGAACCGTGGCTGCAGGCAGTAGGCACGGCTGTTTGCGTGATTCCTGCGGCTTTATGCTGCGGCTATACCAAGGCTGGCACTGCCTATTCCACATTATTGCACAAAGTGGACTCTTCACAACAGACAAGGAGGTTTCACGCTTTCGATTCAAGCAGGGTGGCCGGGCTGCGGGCTGGGACACTCCGATGGCGTTCATGTCGATTGCGTATGATTGCGTCGCTCATGTGAGGGTTTCGGCTTGCCAAGGATGCTGTCACCGGTGCAGATGACGCTGACTCCTGCAGAGGAGGTGCAGCCTGCAGTGGGAGCGGACTTGCGTGTTTCAGTGTGGTGAAATTGGTGCCGAGTTCGACTGTCGCGAGTTGCAGTGGAGCTTGGCTAATTAATGCTAAGCTGGCAAGTGGCACAAGCATAAAGATGTGAGAGAAGAATACCTGCGGTAGGATTTGCACGGACGCGACGGCTTGGATCATGGGAACTGGGCCACGCGGCTTCAAGTTGAACCTGGGCTCGTGGGGCGGCAGGCTTTCGGTGGCCATGCAGTGTTTCGATGTTGCTCTATGGCCTTCCCACATGCAGGAACGCGCTAATGAATCAGAAGCTCTTGCCTGTAGGAGTGTACGAAGTGTCGACGATGAGAATGTACAGTACCCCTTCTGACAGACATCCTAACGGCCCTCAGACTTCGCCCAAAGGTAAAGATTCTTCTCGAGCCGAGAAGCTTCCTCCTGCTGCAAGGTCGCACAGTCTCGCCTTTGGGATTTTCGAAGCTTGTGTAGTGGGACAAAGTTCGAGAACATCGAGGTCATTAAGGGTGTTCCTTCTCGTGACTGAGTTCAGCAAAGGTTTCGATTGTCTGGCTGCGCCGCACTAATCCAGGGAGTGTGAAGGTGTAAGTGTGTGTGTGTGTATGTGTGTGTGTGTGTGTGTGTGTGTGTTTTCATCCACTGACAGAGTCACGCAAGAAATCGCGGGGTTGAGACTGCCAGTTTGGGCCGTGAGTGCTGCTTGGCAGGCGAAAGCCGTTACGAATATCGTCATGGAATTCGCCGCTCAAAGCTGGCACGGGTCTCGGCAGTGGGGGCTTGCAGTGGTTCGTGGGCGAAAGCTCAACCAACAATTAGACATACTCGACATCTTCTCTTGCGACTTATGTGTATGTGACAGCCGATTATAACTACAGCCCTCTGATGGGAAGACTCTTGAGGGCCAGCCCGTCTAGTCGGAATACATCAAGGGGTTGAGGGGTTACCACCATCTGAGTGACAGACTCGTGCATGGAGTCTCGCCCAAATGGATAGCTTGCGTCCCTGCAAGGTTCAGCTAGGCGATGGCCAAATCCTGCGAAGGGAAGCAGGCGGGTGTTGCAGTGTTTCCAAGCATCTGAGTAGCAAGACGGTTTCTTCGGATTCTTACTGTGCTGGATTCTGTTGTTCAGTGTTCGGCTTATCCCGATCCCAGGTCTTCTAATTTCCTAACTTTTGCCTTCTGGTGCTTTCCAGTTGCCGCTTTTCGGATGCATCTTGCCTAAGGCCAGGGAGAGGCAGACAGAGAGGAGCTGCAGATGCGGCAACGCCCACACCATGTCTGCCGTTTCGAGCGCAGGTTATCGTCGCGTGTCCCTCACCTTCCGAGAACTACTCCAGAGCCGCAGACTCTTGGTCGCAAGCTGATAGAAGAATCTAGTAGTCTTCAGGACAGGTCACCTCCCAAAGGAGGAAAGGAAACTTCACACAGGCTGACCCGGTGCAAGAACATGTTGGTTGCCCGGGTTGCCAGAGGATGTTGTTGCGCACCTAAGTCCATGTTGAAACTGCAGGACAGCTGAGCGACACTGCTACTGACGGCAAGGAGATCCGGTGGATTTCCCGCAGGGAAGAAAACTGAAAGCACTTGGAGCACATTGCCTCGACAACTTCGCGAGAGCTTCATACCTGAGCCGAGTGCAATGAGAAGCAAAACACACACCCGAATCTCATTCTGATTCGTACTTGCAGATAAGCGGTCGGCAAGACTTAAGCAGTGTTCGGAAAATCTATTTCAGCGCTTGACATGAATCTTGTGCATGAGGGTGCCTGGCAACGCTGAACTCCAAACCAAGCCTTCTTTTTTCTCCTGGAATCGTTGCATGAAAAGCAGGAAGTAGGCGTAGACGTGCCTCAAGGCTCAAGGTCTTACATCAGGCCCAGGGCTTTCCTGTCCATACCCAGCGAGATGCCCTCTTGATCCCTCATGCCGGAGACACAAAGCCTGGACATGTTCGAGGCCTCGCAAATTGTGCACTTTCGAACTCTGCTTATGTTTCCTTCCGTAGCGGTGAAGCCATGAAGCCAGATGCTGCCCGAAAAAGTTGCGAGCAGCAGAGGCCTGTTGTCGAGCGGTTTAGAGGAGCTCCGTGCAAGGGTCTTGCGGGACAGATTCACGCCGCATTTTTGTACAGCACTTCTCATGCACATGTGTCCATGCGAGGAAGCCGAGGCCCCAGGGGCAGAGGTAAAAGTTTGTGTCTGTCACTTAGACTCAGACTTTTTGGTGCTTGCCAGTCTCGAGGCAGTCCTACGGGCCGCGATCTTCGCACCAGGTGACAGTTGATCCGTGTCCAACTGATGTCTTTATGCAGCAAACTCGGATCATGTCTTGGGGTATCGATCGTGCTAGGGGCTGTTTGTGTTGCCTGCTCGATGATTGGGATAATTGTATTGCCTGAAGTCGAAGTAAATCCAACCTGATCTGGTCCAGACTTCGTTTCAAGAGCACACACCTTCTCTCTTTCTTGCGAAAGCTGCCGCAAATGCCATTGCCAATATGCTTCTGGTCTTGCATAGATGTGTCCGAACTTATTGCCCGGAGTTTATCTGAAAATCAACATCTAGTGACTTTCCCAGCCACCAGTAGAGGAGCTCAAATTCTACATTCGAGCACATCAGAAACACCCAGCACGAGCAGGCCATTGACGTCGGCCGCCAGTGTACCTTGATTGGTCCTGGTGCTCTGCTGGCGCTGAGGCCTCCGAGGACGCAGTGAGCCCGCATGCTTTCCATTCGGTTTTCAATCGTTCATCAACAATCGCAGACGGCAAAGCGGACCCGCCGCCCGGATGCTCAGCCTGACCCGCAACTGAGCGACCGCCAGGACGCTGGCTGATAACCAGAAGCCAGGCACGGCAGACCGCGCCGGATGAGTTGTCTTGTCTTACGAACGTAAGATATTGTAGTGGCTTTTGACAGTGTGCAGAATGGGATTTTGTGTTCCACGTTGCGCTTTGCTCCAACTGCGGCAATGCGGAACCGAGGGGAAGCTAAGCGGAAGCTTTGGAAATTGAAAGCTGAAGGTTTGGATGGAAGTCTGCTGGGAAGCCAATCCAAGAAGGCACGACTTGGCCTGGCATGGCACCAGGTGCGTGGTCAGCCAAAACAGGCACAAAGCTGCCGCGACCGGAAGAGGCCGGATGGTTGGGAATTAGATTGCTGCCTCACAGGTTTTCGTTACGATTCTGAACTCATGAGATCGGGTTGCAGCCAAACAATGGTAATCTAGGAAATGATAATTTCTGCAAAACATTACCTTTTAATCATCCTCCCCATCATCCTCCCCCTTATCCTGGCTGATCTCTATTTACCTGAAATTTACCTCCCGATCATCCTCCCAATTTTGCTCCCCGAAATTGGCCTCCCCAAAACTTACCTCAAATCTTCCTCTGCATCATCCTCCCGATCATCCTCCCCGTTATCCTCCCCAAATTTGGCCTCCCGAAAATTTACCTCAAATCCTCCTCTCCTCCGTTTGACAAAATTTTCAATTAATCTAAAGGAAAATGCCGGAAGGAGGTAAATTTTTGGTAAAATTTGCGTAAGCTTTACCAAAATTTTACCAAAAATTTACCTCCCTCCTGCAGTTCTCTTTAATTCTAAATAAATGTTCAATTAATCTGGTTTCTTAAGGAAAATGCCGGAGGGAGGTAAATTTTAGGTAAATTTTGCGTAAATTTGACCAAAATTTTACCAACAAATTTACCTCCCGCCTGCAGTTTTCCTGAGCTACTAACAAATTTTCAATAAATCCAAGGAAAATGCCGGAGGGAGGTAAATTTTAGGTAAATTTTGCCAAAGTTTTACCCAAAAAAATACCTCCCGCCTGCAGTTTTCCTTAGCTATTAATAGATTTTCAATAAATCCAAGGAAAATGCCGGAGGGAGGTAAATTTTGCGTAAATTTTACCAAAATTTTAGCGGGGGAGGATGATCAGGAGGATAATCAGGAGGAAAAGCCGGAGGTAAAAAGAATGATGATCCGAAAGAAAAGCAAAAATAGGGAGGATGATCCGGAGGACAACCAAAAGGTAAATTGTACGCTAAACTATTTGTCCTGCGTGGCCTCAACGATTGGCTGGCCGGATCTCATAATGAGTTCTCATCTTGCGACCACAGCAGCTTGCGGCTACTCAGCAGCTACTCCACAAGATGTTGCCGGAAGTGTACGCCAAGGTGCCGGCCTTCGCGATCCCCCGGACTGCGGAGGCAGACAGAGCACACATCAAGCACGAGGGCTCGCGACTAGTACAGTATCGCATACAGCAGGTGCGCCGGTGTGTATACGCAAGTATAGATATTTAGATAGATAAACAAAAATATATATATATATATATATTTATTTATTTATCTATTTATTATACATATAGACACTTGCATAATGCAAAGATGGCCTCTGTCGCAGCGTCCGTGCTGAGGACAAACTCCAAGTGCAGGCTGAGGCAGCGGCGCTCGCTTTGCTTCGCGGCACTGTGGGCGAGGCACGGGCGGGCCCAAGCTCCAGGGCTGTGGTTTCGGAGCCAGAGAGCGAAGGAGCTTGGTGAATGCAGTACCGACATGTAACGACAAGTGGTGTGCCCAGGCTTCAGGGGGCTTGGCGTCTTCTGGGGTTTGCATCGAGGCGAGCGCTGCCTATCACCTATGCAACTGAGCGGAAGAGAGAACGACGGCGAGGGAACCGTGCCGTCGAAGGGTGGGCCAACTTTATGCGCAGACCTCGAAGATGGGTGACCCAAAGCGGCCAAGTCAAACAAGGGGGAAGAGGCCCTCTTGTCTCTCCGTCCAAGAAGTCTGCCGCGAGTTCGTGGAGGTCGAGAGACTTGGAAAAAGTTTGCTTTCCACCCAGCGTTTCGGGCACTCCACATTTAGAGGAACAGTTCCCTCCTGCGTACGAGGGATCAAGCTGGCAACGATGCATGCCTGTGGGGATATCGAGGAATCGGGAGGGGCGCTTGGATAATGAGACGATTCTGAGGCCAAGCTCGCAGCATTTCGACCTAGCCCGAAACCTGCATCACTGTCGCTACTTCTGTCGCGACGCAGAAAAAGCCTGCGCCTCATGTAATGCAAGGCAAGGAACCGAAACGTTTCACTGTAGTGCTTCTTCCTAAGCGCTGCAGAACCCCACCTCAAAACGGCTTTGGTTGCCAAACTTTTCCGCCTTGTGCAGTCATCTTCGAATGACGCCGAGTACAAGCACTGCCCCGGGAGGCGGTAAGCGGGCCCGTGCCGGGCGTCGGGCAACCGCTTCGTCAGGACTCCAGGCCTTGATGGGGAAGGGTTCCAGCGTAAGAAAGCCTGCAGCGTGACTGCAGAAGCTTGAGGCTTGGACTGTAGACATCGAAGCCTAAAGCCTTCATATGCTCTTCCAAACGCGAACTTCTTGAAGCTGCGCGAAGTCTGAAACCGTAACCTGCGAAGATGTTCTCCCCGTTCCTGTTCAGCTGCGGCGCCGGAATGTCGACATTGAAGCGACTTGCAAAAGCCACCGCCGAAGGTGCGCTTGTTTTCTCTTCCCTGTTCGGACCTAGTGAGCTTCTCAGGGGGTGCGAGTTAGTTGTAAATATTTCTGTTATTTACCGAGGGTCCAGCGTTGGCTGGCAGTTCGCCGTTCTGCTTTGAGTTGGAAGGTGGATTCCGCCACGTGTCGCCACTCTTCTACGCGCAATGCCAAGCGAAGCGAGCCAGGGAGCAAGCAAGCTAGCAGCAAGCTGGCAAGCAAGCAGGCTAGCAGCACAACCATGACTGCAGCACAGCTCTTTCATGAAAGAAGCCCCTTGCTGGTGTACATGATGCTCCCAAGATTCCCTGTGGTGATCTGATTGTTCTGAAAGCCTACCGTGTTTGGGGCCGGCTTAGAGGAATCTCATGTCCTGAGCAATGGCTGCGCAGCGCAAGTCCGGCAAAGAGTCCGACAAGTTCGCGCGGTGGTTCAAAGCCAAAAGGTCTGGAGGCGGCAGCAGAGGACGCGGGGAAGCAAAGGGCAACTCGTCGAGGTGCGTTTTTGCAACAACTTTCTAATGTGCTTTGATCGAAACCGATAGCAAAATACGCCGTCCGTCCTCCAATCTGGCCAAGGCAAGGGGAAGGCTAAGAATGCCTCAGCCGGCCGCTTGCCACACGAGGGAGACAAAGTATCTCCGAACAAAAGCGAGCTCCTTCCAAAGACGAAGGGCAACAAGCGAAAGGCTGCGAACCTTCTGGAACCGGCGGAGGGTGTCAGTGATGGTCTGCAACTTGTCTCATGACGCATGACTCGGAAGAAAAGTTCTCGTACATCAAAGCATGAAAGATACTCGTACCAGTGTGCACAGCTGTAGTAAGACTACTCGTTCATCCTCGAGGAGATGCATTTCATCGGAACAAAAATCCAAGGCGACAGAAGCTTTTGGCAACCAAGCAGCGTCTCCTGGCCGGCAACGCAGAAGCGGCTCGCGCAGGGGTCGTGCAGGCAGAGACCGCAGAGAAAATGGATGTTGCAGGGGCAAGGGGGAGGGGCGGAGGGACTGCCTCGAAGTTCGGCGCGCAGGCGGAGCCTGGAGCTTGGGCCGCCATGCAGGCCGAGAAGGAGAAAGCCAACGACGGGAAGGACGGGCAAAAAGGGAGGCTCGGCTTGCACGGAAGTGCTAGCACCACAGGCTCTGTGCGCTTGCGCTCAAGTCGCCTTTCGCTTTGCCTGAGCACCAAGGAAAGCAAAGGGAAAGGGAAAGGGAAAGGGAAAGGAGCCGGGCAAGGGCAAGGGCCCCGTGAAAGGGAAGGGAAAGGGCCAGGGCCAGGGCCAGGCCAGCAAGAAGGTGCCCGTCGTGCGCGAGGAGCGCCGTTTTGTCACCCAACGTCTTTCGAAAGCACTCGGCAAACCTCGCGCAGGAGCTGGTGAGACTGAATCGCGAAATTGCGTCCCACGCGCAGCTGCGAGACCTGCCAGCTGTCCACGCAACGCTGGGGAACCTTGAGGACCCGGGCTTGGGCTTTTACTGTAGAGCTTTCGGACGCTGTTTGAGGCTGGAGACGGCCGCAGAGTAGCTCCCGTTGTCCGCATCGCCTTCCAGCGAAGATCTTGAGTATTTCTGCGGCTGAGAGCGGATGAGAGCGGAGAGTAGGAAAAGGGCTGGGCCAATGGCCATACCTATGCCGCTGCTGTGCATGCGCTGTTGCTCGGCCTTTTAGCTTGCGACACTAGCTGCGTGTGTATGTATGTATGTATGTATGTACGTATGTATGTATGTATGTATGTATGTATGTACAGTATGTATGTATGTATGTATGTATGTATGTATGTATGTATGTATGTATGTATATGTATATGTATATGTATATG